ACATGCATTAAGCCTGACCCACAAACACTTCATGCCACAGGGAAGACAGGCGCGGTGGCCGCGAGGGCGGGAGGACCAGGGCGGTCAGGTGCCGGTGCCTGACCGCAGACAGCTCGGCCGCCGGCCTGCACGCCGACCTCTGGTGGCAGGTTTCCCTCTGGAACTGCCCTGAGGCTGTCACATCGAAGACAGGCGGGGACTGACACACACGGTTAACATGCGATCATGTCTCACAGAAGCCTGTGCTGCTGTCCAAGGCCCTCACATTTCAGACCGGCAGCGTGACGAGGGGGCGGGACTTGCGCTTTGTGAGAGAATTCTCCAGGGACCTGTGCCAGGAGCCAGGTCCCCAGACGCTCCTCCAGCTTCAAAATGCCACCCAGGGCGCCTCCAGCTGCGCAGCGAACACACAGGCCCCGCTCGTCCATCCAATCTCCTCCTCAGCACCCCTGGTGCCCAGGCCCCGGCCCGCAGAGGAGCCGGGAGCTCCCGGGGCTGAGCTGCTCACCTGATGGTGCCGGTCGGGGAGGGGATGGGGCTGACCAGGCTCCGGAGGTCCGGCTCCGGAATGTGGATCCTCAGAGGGGAGATCTGGGGGTAGAGCGGCCGCAGCGGTGAGGCGGGGGCCTCCTCCTGGTGGTAGAGTGCTGTGAACTGGATCTTGATGACCGTGCTGGGGAAGCGGAAGGTGCACCTGCAGAGAGAGGGAGAGCGACGTCAGCTCAGAGCAGAGGAGGAAGCACAGTCAGGAGGGACCTGCCCACGGGCCCTGAGCCCGCACAGCCTCGCGGGCCGGCCCGGGCTCCATCGGGCACTTTCTGGCGCTGACACCACCCTCCTTCGTGCCGGGAACAGGAGCCAGGAACAGCCCAGGACCTCTGACGTCATCTCCAGCGGAGGCCCAGCAGGCAGAGCGCTCCGTCCACTGTCTATCGGCGGGCTCGCCGCCCAGAGCGCTCTGGCTGGGAGGCTGGGCCGCGTGGGCGCGGTGGTTTTAACGACGGAGCCGACCTGAAGCACAGGCGCCCGTGAACCTGCCGCCGGCGTCGGGAGCAGCGGGACGCACACAGGCTGGCGGCGGCTTCAGCTCGCTCTGGGCGGGAGGAGCTGGTGTTCTCCACTGGCAGAGACCACGCGCTCACACGCCAATGCCGCCGGGGCCAGGGGCCGCCCCATCACGTGTGTCCATGACCCCAGGGCGCCACCGTGAGGAGTCTGGGCGGTCCTGACCCGGCAGCCCTTCTCACGTCCAGGCCGACGCGTTCCCCAGGAGCGGCTGGCAGCACGCGAGGTGAAACACGGAAACCGGGCGAAGCGGCCGCCCAGACAGTGACAGCTGAGCAGCCGCACGGCGGCTCCTGTGACAAGCGGGCGAGGAAGCACGTGCTCGCGCCCACCTCCCGCACCGGCATCACTCGGAAGGCGCCACCTCGTGCCGAGCAGCACCTGGCAGGGCCGCGGGCTCTCGGAACGGCTGGGGCCTCGCCAGCAGCTGCTCCGCACGCCCGCCGCTTCCCAATTCAGCGCCATGTCTGAGCAGACGCCCAGCCCCGCCCCGCGGACCCGGCAGGCAGCCCTCACGCCGTCCCCGTTGCTCTGATAGAACAGCAGTTATTATGAAACGAGACTGAGCACATGTCGCCCGGGTTCCAGGATCAGGAGCCCCCCCTCGGGGCGACCCCCTCCCACGCTGTCACTTGCGGGACGTGCACCTGCTCTGAACGCCACCTGCACAGATCACAGAGAAAGCCAGGGTCCCACGGGCTCGCCGGCCGGTGCCGATTCTCCGGAGACCGAGCGGACGGGCTGCACGTGGTCCCAAAGGGGCGCCGGCCGGCAGGGAGCCCCAGGACGCCACTGACCCACAGGCCCTGCGTTTCCATTTCCAAACTAAACGGGACAAA